TATATATATATATATATATGTGTGTGTGTGTGTGTGTGTGTGTGTGTGTGTGTATACTGTATATATCATATATACACATTTTTTCGATATTTTAACTAAAACAAAGATTATTATACATTTCTTGTGTTTTAAGTGTGTGTATATTAATAACTATATGTATATGCAAATATTTTTCTTGTTTAAAGCATAAACCTCAAGCTTCTTTTTATACTTACAACAAGACAAAATCCCCTAAAAAGTACTTTTATAATTATTATGTTCAAAAACAACATGGTATTACCATTATGTCCAAAAAGCAAATGTTTTATCATTGTATTATGTCAGAAAAACATACTATTAGCCTGCCATTGCACATGGTATTACCATGGGACCATGTCCAAAAACAAATACATGGGACTTTTCCCACTGGTGATAGGCTACAAAAACTTTTCCCTTCTTTAGAATTTAGAGACAAAAGACGCACGCTTTCAGCATCGGGTGTTGATTTGTTAATCAGGCCTCCCCCTCTGCTCGGGGTCCGAGCTGGCGCCAGCAGAAAGCAGTGATCCGCCCTATAGTATAGTCCCTCCTCAATCCTCCACTCGGGACAGGAATAAACCTGCACATCCCACATTCACCCGGGGAAGAGAGTGTGAGAAAGTGTTTTTGTCCCTCCCTTGCGGTGAAACTAAACTGTGGAGGGAGTGTTCGCTCCTTTCATTTTTTTCAGATCCACAGTAATTTGAAGGAAATCTCTCTCTCTCTCTCTCTCAGTACCTGCGCGGAGGGACACCATCAGCGGCGCGTGAGCAGGCTCAGAGTCCCAACAGTGTCTACAGACGGAGAACCGGTCAGAGTTTCCACGCGCAGACGCTCTCGAGAGACGTCGGGATTTATTTATTAATCAACACGGATATTTAGTCTAACTCTTTTGCACTTTCTGGAGATTTACAGAAGACTTCTGGGGATCTATGAGAGCTTCAGGAAGGATTTGAAAGAAGTTGTAACGCCGAGGCGGAGTTATGAACCGTTTCTTGGTGAAATTAACGCTACTGACGGCAGCTTCGTTCGCGACGGCGGCACAAGGTAACTAACATCAGCTCTAATAACATTTCACAATTATATATAGTCGTATGATTCTACGTTGATTAATTTTCACACTTCATGAGTTTGGTAGTGATATTTCTGCGCAGCTTGTTGCACAGAATAGCCTGATAGTGGGATAAACATAATATCATTTTCTCCACAACTTTCTCTTTCATAAAGTTTCATTCATTTTTTTTAAGTCAAGTGTTTTACTGGCATGAGTTTTGCATGATACAATTGTGCCAAAGTATCTACACAATGAGAAATACATCAGATGTCAGTTATGAAAATATGATGTTAAATCAATATTGAATAGAACAGCAGGCATTTTGGAAGGATATCAGTATATCAAATCTCGGTTTTATGGGCTTTATGATATTAATTGGTGATCGATATTGTTATAAATTCAGTGTAATGAAGTGCAAGTTTATACAGGGTGAACTGGACCACTTTTGCCAAAGTTTTTCCTATTAATCTGAATTGTTAATTATCTCTTTCACTCACTTATGTAACTCGTTAAAGTTGAGTAACATCAGAAGTATCGCTGTAACTTTATGACAGTGCGAGTGCTTGGTTTCTGAAGTTATTGCGGTTGTTTTTAGTGCGTTGTCTTGTCCCTGATGTTGATTGAGTTGCATTGTGTGTGGAGTCTGGAGGAAAGCGATCTGTGCGTGAATGAAGGGAGGAGGAGGAAGGGGCTGTGCTGTTGTTCTCGTGCGCTGGTAAACAATGGCTCGAGACAGTGTTTTATGGGCTCGTGCTGGACTCTGATTTCTTTTGTCCGTGCAGCGTGGGCTCCGCAGCTGTCGCGCGCGCTCTCCCTCCACACACACACACACACACACACACACTCTCTCTCTCACACACACACTCACACACTCTCTCACACGCACACACACGCACCCGTGGAGGAACCGAGAGCCTGACAGACAGGGGAAATGACACAGCTAGATAGAAGAGACAGGAAACGAAACAAACTATTAAAAAGTGAAATTCTGCGCAATTTAAACCTGAGGTAAACAAGTAAGCGAAATAACCTAACAAGAAGTACTGTGGTGGTACCAGGGTACAGTAATGTTATCTGTTGGTAACACCATGGTACTTTGAAATATATAAAGCACTGGTATACATGACATATATTCATATACCATAGTATCCATTAAAAAACATGGTACCAACAGTTACTGAGAAATTTCAGGAAATTTATGGGTTGAACTCATCGAAATTAATAAAATTTAAATTAGTACAATTCAATTTTATAGTATAACAATACAGTTTATTAATTTTATAATATATTTTAGGTAAAAATTTCTGGGAAAGTAATTGAAATTACTATTATACAAATATATATATATAACACAATAAATAATAATAATACTTGTATTATATATATATATATATATATATATATATATATATATATATATATATAATTTAGTTTTTTATATTTTATTTAATTTTAATTAAATTTTATATATTACATTTTGTTAAATTTTGTAATATAAATAATAAATCCATTGCATAATAAAAATATATGAAATAATAAAATAAAAGCTCATGGAGAAAGCATAGAAACATTTTTAATTTTAAAATATTTTATTCTCAATCTCTAAAAAATTACTGGAAAAGTCATGTAAATTCATTGAGTGAAGAATTTACTTCACTAGTCAAAAAGTGTGTGAAATCCATTGTACACCCTAGTCTGTGCATTGACATTTTAAAGAAACAAAAGAGAATTAGTACTGGTGGTTTAATCTGTAATAAGGACTAGTCTGAGAGTTTTGACTAAGAGCCTTGTCTCTAGACGGTCGTTACCAATTAAAGACGGCCTGCAGGCAGCTGGTTTCATTCAACAAGTGCACAACTGCAGTCTAGAGCGACTGGCCTAGATGTGCTGTTAATCCTTAAAGTGTGATGATGCATGCTCCTGCGAAATAAATATTCCTTCCATAAATGGGCACATTTGGCTTAATAAAACACATTGAATGCCCACCCAGACTGCAGAAAGTCAAGATGTGCACATCCTAGCACTGTCAGCTAAACTTAAACTAGTGTGAAGCTGATATATTAATACTGAACCGGGAAGACTGTATTTTGAGTTTAAACCCTTGTTAAAGACTGACTGCCACATGGAGAGGGAATTGTTGAGGATGTGGAGCTATTTCCAGGCTCAGTGTTGGATAACTGCAACAAAAGGCCAGTGGCTCTCCATCGGGGGCCACAAAACAAAGGGCTCGGGTCCCTTTATTGAAGTCTATAGGTGGTGAGGTTCTTTTGTGAGGAGTTAGCATGTGTGTTTGCATTGACAGGTGTGCTATGAGATGCACAGGTGGTTTAGTGTGTGATTGTTGGGATGCACTAACAGATGTTTGTCTTTGTGTTTAGGGCAAAGATGCTCAGAATACTGTCAGAATGGAGGAATATGTGAGCTCAAGCCGAGCGGAGAAGCATCATGCAGGTACGTTACAAAAAGAAAAATATAAAGGTTTGGTAATAACCAAAAATTTTAGTCTGATGTTGTACACACTCTTAAAAATAAAGGTTCTTTATTGGCATTGTTCGATGGTAAAAAGTTCTTCATGGAGCCATGGAAACTTTCCATTGTACAAAAGCTTCTTTAGAGCATTAAAATGTTCTTCACATTAAGAAAAAGTGATTATTTTAAGAACTGTTCACTGAAAAGTTCTTTGATGAACCAAAAATAGTTCTACACTCTTGAAAACAGAGGTTCTTTATTGGTATTGATGGTCCCATGAAGAACCTTTCCATTCTACAAAAGTTCTTTAGAGTGGAAAGAGTTCTTTAGATTATTAAAATGTTCTTCATACTAAGAAAAAGTGATTATTTTAAGAATTGTTCACTGAAAGGTTCTTTGAGGAATCAAAAATGGTTCTTCTACACTTTCAAAAATAGAGGTTCTTTATTGGAACTGACGGTTCCATGAAGAACTTTTATCACCCATGGACCTTTTCCACTGTACAAAAGCTTCTTTAGAGCATTTAAATGTTTTTTTGCACTTAGAAAAGATTGTTCTTTTAAGAACTGTTTACTGAAAAGTTTTTTGGGGAACCAAAAATAGTTCTTTAATGCCATTGCTGTAAAACCTCCCGTTTGGAACCTTTATTTCTAAGAGTGTAGGAGAACCATTTCATGTTAAATAAAATAACACTTCCTCTCATGTTCTGTGTTCTAGACCTAGAATACAAAACACGAATCTAAAAACCTAACGAATCAAGAACTTTCTGAATCTCCAAACAACTATATAGCAGCTCAGTGGTTCTTTACTGACCACTAAAGAACATTTATTTAAAAAAGTGTTGCACACAATCTAGTAAAACAGCAGTAAACACCATGCAAACTCAGTGTAGTGAAGAAAAGTGTATGTATACCTGTGTATTTGTTTGTAAGCTGTAATCAACCACTTTGAGATTCCATCTTTAGGCCCAAACCCCATCTTAGCAGCCATACAAAGCTCTAAGCATCTTGCGTGTATGTGTGTGTGCGCATGTGCGCATGTGCGAACGTGCACGCGCTCATAGTCATTCTGTTTCAAACTTAGATAAAAGACCCCCCTACCAACCCCCCCAGTAGTCCGTTGGTGCCCTGCTGCAGTGGGACGCTGCTTCTGTCAATGTCTATTCATGCCATTCAGCCCAACAGCTGGCCCTCACCTCCTATTGTCTCACATGCACACACTTAGCATGGAATAAAACTTGAGTTTATACTCATAGGATGCATATAGTGAGATTCACTATGATTTGGCAATCAAAATCAGAACTTTTTTTTATTTTATTTTTTGTTTCTCAATCTTTGTCGCTTTTGATGTGTGTTTTCTTACACCCCGGAGGCTGTTTGTGTGTGTGTGAATGGTGTCTTTTTTGGAGGGCAGATGGCGGAGGGGGTAATAAGATTGCAAGAACTCATGAGAAAGGCCTCAGTGTGTGTGTGTGTGTGAGACGCATTAAAGGAGGGGAAATTTAAAAGCAAACAAGTGTGTGAGACTGTTAGTCACACTTCTTGTTCTGCATTTAATCATGCATTTTCCAATCTAGAAGATGTCTTGTATTATACTTACATTGTTTAAAATTAAAATAAAAGCACAACCATTTTTTTCCTCTTTTGATGGAAATGTGAGTGTATGCCTGTGAAAAAGTTGCGGTTATTATTCTAGAGTGTTCTGATTGGTTGCTAGGGTGTTCTGGGTGATTTGTATGTTTTTTGACGGCATTATTTCTATTTTTTGACACTATTTCTATGTTTTTTGCTAGGATGTTCTGTTTTTGGATGGTTGCTAGGTTATTCTATACTGATCTGTTATTCTAGTCTTTTGTTCAGTGCAAATCAATGGAATTTGTTCACTTGTTTTATTGCCTACAATGAGCCGCTCCATTTGAGGCGTCATTCACATATGTAGCAATGTTTAATACCCTAGTGTTCTGGGGTTTGTTCAGATCTGTAATGCTGAGTATGTGCAATAATGATTGCGTTATCAAATGGCACTAATTAATGAATGAATCAGTCTAAAAAAGATGAGAGAGATCGTATCTCTCATTGTTGAGTAGTTCGCAGACACATTCACTGGGGGACAAACCCTGAACATCCTGTTGTGATGACCCCGATGATAAACAGGAAGAGCAGAGATATTTTTGATCCTTTTTTCCTCAAGCCGAGCGGAGAAGCATCATGCAGGTACGTTACAAAAAGAAAAATATAAAGGTTTGGTAATAACCAAAAATTTTAGTCTGATGTTGTACACACTCTTAAAAATAAAGGTTCTTTATTGGCATTGTTCGATGGTAAAAAGTTCTTCATGGAGCCATGGAAACTTTCCATTGTACAAAAGCTTCTTTAGAGCATTAAAATGTTCTTCACATTAAGAAAAAGTGATTATTTTAAGAACTGTTCACTGAAAAGTTCTTTGATGAACCAAAAATAGTTCTACACTCTTGAAAACAGAGGTTCTTTATTGGTATTGATGGTCCCATGAAGAACCTTTCCATTCTACAAAAGTTCTTTAGAGTGGAAAGAGTTCTTTAGATTATTAAAATGTTCTTCATACTAAGAAAAAGTGATTATTTTAAGAATTGTTCACTGAAAGGTTCTTTGAGGAACCAAAAATGGTTCTTCTACACTTTCAAAAATAGAGGTTCTTTATTGGAACTGACGGTTCCATGAAGAACTTTTATCACCCATGGACCTTTTCCACTGTACAAAAGCTTCTTTAGAGCATTTAAATGTTTTTTTGCACTTAGAAAAGATTGTTCTTTTAAGAACTGTTTACTGAAAAGTTTTTTGGGGAACCAAAAATAGTTCTTTAATGCCATTGCTGTAAAACCTCCCGTTTGGAACCTTTATTTCTAAGAGTGTAGGAGAACCATTTCATGTTAAATAAAATAACACTTCCTCTCATGTTCTGTGTTCTAGACCTAGAATACAAAACACGAATCTAAAAACTTAACGAATCAAGAACTTTCTGAATCTCCAAACAACTATATAGCAGCTCAGTGGTTCTTTACTGACACTAAAGAACATTTATTTAAAAAAGTGTTGCACACAATCTAGTAAAACAGCAGTAAACACCATGCAAACTCAGTGTAGTGAAGAAAAGTGTATGTATACCTGTGTATTTGTTTGTAAGCTGTAATCAACCACTTTGAGATTCCATCTTTAGGCCCAAACCCCATCTTAGCAGCCATACAAAGCTCTAAGCATCTTGCGTGTGTGTGTATGTGTGTGTGCGCATGTGCGAACGTGCACGCGCTCATAGTCATTCTGTTTCAAACTTAGATAAAAGACCCCCCTACCAACCCCCCAACCCCCCCGTTGGTGCCCTGCTGCAGTGGGACGCTGCTTCTGTCAATGTCTATTCATGCCATTCAGCCCAACAGCTGGCCCTCACCTCCTATTGTCTCACATGCACACACTTAGCATGGAATAAAACTTGAGTTTATACTCATAGGATGCATATAGTGAGATTCACTATGATTTGGCAATCAAAATCAGAACTTTTTTTTATTTTATTTTTTGTTTCTCAATCTTTGTCGCTTTTGATGTGTGTTTTCTTACACCCCGGAGGCTGTTTGTGCAGCCATACAAAGCTCTAAGCATCTTGCGTGTATGTGTGTGTGCGCATGTGCGCATGTGCGAACGTGCACGCGCTCATAGTCATTCTGTTTCAAACTTAGATAAAAGACCCCCCTACCAACCCCCCCAGTAGTCCGTTGGTGCCCTGCTGCAGTGGGACGCTGCTTCTGTCAATGTCTATTCATGCCATTCAGCCCAACAGCTGGCCCTCACCTCCTATTGTCTCACATGCACACACTTAGCATGGAATAAAACTTGAGTTTATACTCATAGGATGCATATAGTGAGATTCACTATGATTTGGCAATCAAAATCAGAACTTTTTTTTATTTTATTTTTTGTTTCTCAATCTTTGTCGCTTTTGATGTGTGTTTTCTTACACCCCGGAGGCTGTTTGTGTGTGTGTGAATGGTGTCTTTTTTGGAGGGCAGATGGCGGAGGGGGTAATAAGATTGCAAGAACTCATGAGAAAGGCCTCAGTGTGTGTGTGTGTGTGAGACGCATTAAAGGAGGGGAAATTTAAAAGCAAACAAGTGTGTGAGACTGTTAGTCACACTTCTTGTTCTGCATTTAATCATGCATTTTCCAATCTAGAAGATGTCTTGTATTATACTTACATTGTTTAAAATTAAAATAAAAGCACAACCATTTTTTTCCTCTTTTGATGGAAATGTGAGTGTATGCCTGTGAAAAAGTTGCGGTTATTATTCTAGAGTGTTCTGATTGGTTGCTAGGGTGTTCTGGGTGATTTGTATGTTTTTTGACGGCATTATTTCTATTTTTTGACACTATTTCTATGTTTTTTGCTAGGATGTTCTGTTTTTGGATGGTTGCTAGGTTATTCTATACTGATCTGTTATTCTAGTCTTTTGTTCAGTGCAAATCAATGGAATTTGTTCACTTGTTTTATTGCCTACAATGAGCCGCTCCATTTGAGGCGTCATTCACATATGTAGCAATGTTTAATACCCTAGTGTTCTGGGGTTTGTTCAGATCTGTAATGCTGAGTATGTGCAATAATGATTGCGTTATCAAATGGCACTAATTAATGAATGAATCAGTCTAAAAAAGATGAGAGAGATCGTATCTCTCATTGTTGAGTAGTTCGCAGACACATTCACTGGGGGACAAACCCTGAACATCCTGTTGTGATGACCCCGATGATAAACAGGAAGAGCAGAGATATTTTTGATCCTTTTTTCTCCCAAAAATATCTCATGTGAACTTTGACGTCTTTCCTGTGTGGTCCGATTCTCAACCTTGGAAATAGTTTGTAAATGGCTGGTGTTTGTGTGCGCGAGCGTGTGGGGATTTCTCTGACTTGTTGCGTCTGAATTGAGGTCGGCGCTGCTCGACATTGGTCAACTTCACATG